TTTGCCACCAAAAACAAAAAAAAATTCTGCATTATTTTTTTTTTTATTGTTTGAATAAATGCTGCATATTTATTTACTATACAGAAAATACAAAAAAAAAATAACATCATAGAATAATGTAAAAAGGCATAGAAAGTAAAAGGTAAAAATAAAATAACTCATTAACTTCAATCTCAAAATAATTGTGAAGTTTTATAAATGATTTTTTTTCTTATATATAAATTCTGTATTTAAGATTTGTCAGCTTATACATTTTATCAACAAAAGGTCAGGGTTATATAAATGCATTTTAATAAATATTATTTAGGGATGGTTAAAACGTATCTAATTTATTTTAGGAAGTCAATAGGCATTGGTTTTCCTCATTTCCTGGCATAAAATATCTGCAGTATTTTGTAAATACTTAGTATTGGCATTACAAGCAATGATCAAAGGCTTTATCCTATTTATGTTTATATAGCTAAATATATGAAATACACAACAAAACAAAGTGCATGGGTTTATTTCCTTTGATGTATGGAAAGCATAGGTGTCTTATTTTTCTCTTCCATTAGCATTCCGCTTTGTAGTATTAAATGCAGTGATACTGGACCTGAGTATGTGATACCACATCAAAGCCAACACAATGTCACTGATGAAGTGTCTGTTCAGCTTGATTGATGATACAGTTTTCATAGATAGATTGCACTACATCACTACATGTAACAAAAAATATATACAGTAAATATCTGTAATAAATTAAAACACTTTAGTATTTAAAATGATCTACGTTAATTAATTCATTTTTTTTAAAATTAATTTCAACATATAACTTTTTACCATAAGTATATATTATAGCAGTCGTTTATTGCACATCATTGGGCAATATATTACATATATTATATTATTACACACATATATATATACTGTATATATATATATTACTTATATATTTTGTGTGTATGTGTGTATATATATAGAGCTATCTATATATAGATATCTCTCTATATATAGAGAGAGAGATATCTCTATATATAAAAAAAATATACAGTATATCTCTTATAGAAATGGCTTTAATATATCTAATGAATACATCAAAACATACATTTTATTTCAAATTAAAGTTATTTTTTTAACTTATTTTAACATATGACAGCAATATGTATGATTTGCAGTTTCATTTAAAGTTTGGTTGGAATAGTAATGTGAATATCTTATTTCTTCCTTTTTTCAGGTCTTTTTTCCCCATAGCAAGAGGTCATTATTGCCACACAGATCCAATGTTTTTGACAATCCTCTTGTAGAAATATCATTCCACTCTTTACTTAGACCACAGACATGATTGGACACTTAATAATCAGGCTTCATGAAGTCTTTATCATAGAGATTTTATAAAGTGGAGCACTTATGTCAACTTGCAGCTCGAAGGACTCATTCGCACGAGAAAAGGCCGCCACGTACAGCTCCGCGCTGCGTGCATGGCAGCTCCCAGGAAGGACAGGTGCTGTGTGTGATTAGTACGAAACCCCTGTCTATAAAACCCCTTTCCTGAGCCTTACGCTCACCCCAAGTGCAGGTCAGTACGGGTGCCGTACGGCCGCGTACTTTCATAGAGAAGGAAAGGCGCTGCGTACTAATCACACTCGGCATCTGTCCTTCCCGGGAGCTGCCCGATACGGCCGTGCACGCAGCACGGAGCTGTACGTGCCGGCCGATTCCAGTGTGAATGTGGCCTTAGAGAGAACTTGCATATACATTTTGAATCATATTGATCCTCCATACTATTTGATCCTCGCTTTTAATCAGGTTTACTCCATCAAGGATCCATAGACCCTAAAGCTTAAAAATATATAGTTGTACTACGGATCATTTAACCCCTTCATTCTAGCAGGGGATAATTGTATTGTAACTCTATTGCTGCAGTGTATTCTATATGTAGTACATATATACAGTACATATTCCAAATACATTGCAGCAATAGATTCTTCCTGTTTACACTCCCAATTCTAAAATTCACACTAAAGCCCAGGCCCCGTCTCACTTACTGGTGCCTGTTTGATCCCTGGTGCCTCACAAGGTGCCAAAGACACATGAGGACGTCTTCTGCGCTGAGCTGGAGAGGAGCGTCGCGTCACTGCTGCTTCGGTGGGAGGCGCTCCAGGTAGGGTCCTAATGTAGGTGGCCGGCGACTGCCCAGAGGACCCCACTGCGTACGGCACGTAAGGTAAAGAAAAAAACAAACAACATAGCGCAAGCATTGGCGCTATGTATCGGGGACAAGTACTTGTGAAAATGCCTTGTATCGGTCCTGATAACGATGCTTGTATCCGTATCGGGACATCCCAAGTTATTTATAAAGATATGAATGTAACATTCACCGAACATTTGCTGCAGGTTTGTCTTCCTGGTGCACGTGTGTTAAATTACAGTCATTGATTGAAACTTAAATGTTCACTGATTTTTAAATATGCCTTATGATATTAGTGTGCAAAACTGCAATCCTGCATCTGTTTCAATGT